AGTCGGTCCGGATAGGGAAAAACTGTGCCCTCGGTCTTGAAAACGGACCTCGGCCTAACGGCCTCGGTCCGTATATTCAAGACCTCGGGCACAGTTTTTCCCTATCCGGACCGACTATAGGACGGTAAATAACATATATATATAACCACAAAGTATTTTAGGAATTGCGTTGGTCTATATGCGATCACAGGTTCAAACAGCTGCACTTTTGTGAAATGCAATATAAATTCTATATGATATCGATCACATCTGATGTTTAATTTCTTTAATTTTTAAATACTTTTTTTGTTTTGAAGTTGGTTTTATAGAATACAAATTCATCGTCAATTATTTTTTAAATAATAATGAGCTATGACAAGTAAACTAATCAAACATAAATGAGATATAAATAAGACGATGGATGGATAAAATTGAATATTCGTTGATATATCATAATAAAGAATATTGAATTTTTTATATTGACTCCACGCATATTCGATATATAAAAATAGTTATATTCAATTGCGACATGTCTGAGAAGACCAGCTGCTTGATAGGCTCCCGCGAGCTATCTCGCAAAGCAGAAGGATTTGGAATGCTTATTCCAATTTTCAAAATATCATTCACTTTCCCTCGCATTATCACACCGGATACCATTAAGAAACCGCAATATGAACGACATTTGATGGAAATATTAATTCCTTCTCTCGCAGACAAAGCCTTCAAATTTTATCGATGCCCTAAAACAACCTCTGGGATTATCATTCAATATCTTGGAACGGCTGATCCAAAAATCGGATTAGAATTCAACGTGTTGCGTTTTGGCAGGAAGGAAAACCGTAAAACCCTGAGAAAGAATATTGAATCAAAAAAGAGAACAAATAAACGCTTCTCACATGTGATCTCAAGTTCAGGAATTGAGCCGCCTAATATTCCATTTCCTTTTCACTTTTCCATTTTAATAATAAGTAAATAAATAACGATGAATAAAGGATAGGAGAAATGAGTGGCATCTCTACAGAGCGGCGTTTTGTTTCGTCATCGACCTAAGTGAGAAAAAAATGAGACGCCAAGAAAAACCCTTGTAGTGAGAAAAAACACTTCTCCTACCTTACCAATGTTAATTCACCTGAGTTTGTGCCAAGTAGACAGTACGGTTGACGGCAATTGTTGCTACAACACTTCTGACGACTGAACTGGGTTATGAACGACTAAACTCACCGCTATGGCATATAAACAGACTCCTTTGATTATTTCTCAGGACGGCTAAAAGAACGAGGTCACGCAAATGTCACGTGACAATGTCAAATATATTTAATGGTCAACTCTAATCAATCACCTCAGGACAAATGATTTGCGTTTTGACAGTCTGATCCGCACTTACGTTTCGCTAATCGTATTTGTCTGACTGCTCAATGGTTTAAGCCATTTCCTATTTCATTTTTATTTCAAAAATTCCTTCATTTTTCTCTCCAGAGTTTTCACTAAAGGTGCGCTAACACGCGCAACATAATTGCGAAACATTGTTGAGTTGCAAATTGCAGACTAAAATTTTGCTCGTATTGACAGGAGTGAAAAACGTCTGTGCATGCCCTATGTACGTATTGTTTTCAGCATTTATCTAGTTTTTATATTTAACTCTTTGTTTACCTTTTATTAGCTTGACTTCTCTGAATTCAACTCTCCCTTTCTTTCAACGACTCATTCACACTCATTTGCAAATTCTCTGTTATTAATTCTTTCTCTTTTCCCGCATGATTTTTCCAGTTGAGCGGTGAACGCGGCGCGCAAAGCATGAGTGGACAAAATGACCGGTCCTCAGCATTTTTGGAGCTTGAAAGAACGAAGCAAACATGGCGGTAAAGTGAAATTGTTTTTATTCTTCCTTTCCATATTTCTGCTTCTTGTAGGAACGTATATTTTGCCTTAGTCAAAAGAAAACAGAAAAATATGCAAATGCGTTGGGTTATATTGTAGCCTGTGAATAAGGGTCGGAGATAAAACTATAAGCCTAGCACTTTGAAAAGTCTTTGAAAGAAAGGCGGTTGATAAGAATATGAAAAATACATCTTAACTATTTTATCCTTTTCCTTCCTGAGTTACGATTTGCTTTCCTTAATTTCTTGAGTTACACACTGACAAATTCTTAAAAATCTCAAAGTTTATCCGCTTCAGGACTCAAAGTTAATCCCTAAAATCTCAAATTTATGTATTAACTTTTATTACAAGTTCAACAACTAACTGAGATAACCAAGTTTACCAAGTAGGAATTTCAAGTCTGTTGAATGTATATACATATAATCAATAGACCATTGGCAAGTTTCAAATTGCCGATGTGTTCCTTGATTACAGACTCATTTATACAGGGCTAGCCTCGCATCAGTGTTTAAATATTCACAAATGCCAACGGTAAAGTAATAGAGAATGCACAACTTTCAAAATCCGAGGACCTTCATTGGAATTTTTTATGAATATTCTACACAGAGTTAAGGCTAACCTTGTTAATATGGAACTCGAAAATGGTCTGTTCCTTCAGAACATTAAAGTGCAATTCTCGACTTTCACATCCCCATAATGCCACGTGTTTTTGGGGGGTAACCAATCAAAAAACTGTCCCAAATTGAAAGAAGGTTTCTTAATTGAATTTATACTATATCTGCTTTTATCTGTACAATACTGATTATCAGTTTATTCCAAGTTATTTTTGCGTGTACAGATCATGAAGAGTTTTGGTCTTACAGAAAATGTATTGACTTACGAAAAAATGTTTGAAAATAAACCTTAAACGTCTTCAAGCTTCTATCTTTTTCTGTTTTTTACTTCTTCATTTTATCTTTGGATACCAAACAAGGTATTTTCAACATTGTGTGATCAGCCTTCAGCAAAATAAGTGGGTTTTTTACCCTCTGGTTACCCCCCAAAGACGCAAAGGATTATGGGGATGTGAAAGTCGAAAATGGTGAAATATTTGTTAGTATGACGTAACTTATGACTGTGACGTCATACCGGCATAGAATTTATAACTTGCCTAAGCAAAAAAAGTTATTGAAAATTTGGTGTCTCATAATGGCGTGTATCTTGTATACTCCCAGTTTGAGTTCGTCTTTTCTCAGTCTTAGCCTTGATTGTGTACAAATATGCTCTTTTCCATTAAGGTCCACTGTATAGTAAGGAACTTACTTACTACGGATCAATACGAATTGATTTAAATGCTATGGTCGGTTTTTGGTTGAATATCTGAATGTTATAACGCACAACCGAGACTAAGGCTGAGCAAAGAGAACTCAAAACTGGAGTATTAAATTCCCAGTATGATGTCACATCATCATCATCATCATTTTTCCCCTTTTCGGAGTACTAGCATCCTTGCGGAGCTTCTGTCTGCAGCACTTGTTGCAGCAGTCGCGTAAGGGCTGATTTATCGATCATACTTCTCCTAATTTGTGTGGAGTCCATTTGTAGAATTCCTTCAAACTTATTCCATAAACTTCTTATAAATCAAAATTGTTAACGCAAAACTTAAATTGAAGAAATATTTAATCACTTTTATAAAATCAATATTGCACATTACTTATTTCAACCCACCCTACAAAAACGTGTTCCAAAACATTGATATTTAGTATTTTTACACAAGTGAATATAATAAATGCGGCGCACTCATTGGTCACAATTTACGTCTTATGCTGTTAGATTCACCTACTGCTGAATATAAGACTGTTAACAGCCCCTCTTTTCCAGACTCAAGTAGAGGAACTGTGGACAACACACAAAGAAATGAATTACGCGTTGCCCACACAACGTAAAATTCCTATTGGCTGAAAATGAGCTGAGCAACCCTGTCAATGAGCTTACAAGTTCAGTGTGCACGCGGTCGATTAAAATTATACAACTGATGTTCCGCGAGAATGTACGTTTACATTCAATGCGAGGGAATAAAACAATTTTATAGCAATGGATTGCTTTTCCAGAAGAGCAGAAAATGATCGCAGCTGCAGTCAGACTTAATAATCTGAACGATATTTGCTGGCGAATTTGTTCTAAATGATCAACGATCGAGAAGCGGCTGAATGGACCGTACGAGTTTCTAGTCTAAGCTTGCAAACATTCTTTAGTCTTCTCCGCAGTCGATAGTGGGCAGGAAGATTTTGATTATGTTTTTTATTAATTTTATTTTCAGTCTGCTAATTTTTAGACAGAGGAAAGGTTTATACAAATTATAGTAACGGCTTCAAAGGACGCCAGTGATTCTTGCATGTGCTGCCTGATGCTTCTCGATTCCAGCCCGCACAGAAGGACAGTTTGATCTTGATAATATCAGCTCTTCTTATCTTCTTTTCAGTTTTTCTCCGTGTTCTCCGATTTTGTCCATCAACACGTGAGTCGAGTGGTGTGTGCATAAAGTAGTAAATGTAGTGTTAGTGAGCGTGAGTGAAAGCAGGCCCACAACAGTGTAAGCTACCAGAATAATCAGCCCACTCCAACAAATAAAATATTATTATTATCATAAAACAAAAGCAGGCGAAATGGAGGATGTCATTAAGCAACAGTTAACAATCAAACAACTATACCAGACTTCCGTTTATTGGCGATAGATAACTGGCCTTGTTTCTAAAGTTGGTAGTTTTCTTTCATCAAGTGTACTGCTAATGGCTTTGCCTGCCTGGCGTCCATTAAACATGCTACGGACAAAAGAGCAAACTCGTTTTGTTTCTCTTTCGTTTTTTAATATCTTCATGGAATGGGTTCAATTCTAATGAAAATTTTTCCATCTAATATTAGCAGGTGACGGTGAAGCTAGAGGCGATAATGACGGCTTAGAATTGGATATAATAAAATAAGATAAAATAGCCTAGGATGTAATTGATCGCCACGACTCGAACTACTACTTATGTAACTCAGCCTTTTAGCGAGGTATTCAATGAATGGATGATACTAATCATGTCTTGACGTTTAGTTTATATTTTTTGTTGGGCAAATGAAAGCTTTTGGTGAAGACGCCAGCTTCGATTTAGAAACATTGTGTTTTTATTTTTTTTAATCTATTTTTTGTCAAATTATTATTTCAGAGAGAATGTATGTAAAGATTGAAAATTTAGCCAACGGTTTCGAAAAATCGTCGATTTTTTTTCCTTCTAATTACTGTTTTCAATCATGACTGGAGAAGTTCGTCTATTATATGCGGTAGATGTTGCAGCGCCTTTCTTTGTACAAATCAAAATTTAATCTGTTTGAATTCTCGCAATATGATTGGCTGACAGCTATGATAAATAGAGCTCTCGTATGGGACTCTAGTGCGCGCGCTAACACCAACATTTAAATGCGTGGTCCTAACATCAATGGCACACTGAAGAAGATATGATCCGTGGTCACGGATCAACGAAAAGAAGACTAAGACATTAATTGTCACAGGGAAGCGCTTGCTATCTAAGATAGACAGCTAACTAACAGGTGAATTCAATGGAAATGCAATTAAGTACGTGAACACTGCTAAACTGTTGGGATTAGAAATTGACAATGAACTATCTTTTGTCCCTCATATAGATTTGGAGTATTAAAGAAATCAAGATCTATTTGCCCTTACGGCAACGGTTATCATATTATAATAGTATGATAAGGCCCATCTTAACTTATGTTTCTGTCATTTGGACAAATTGTGATAAAACGTCCTTATGTAAAGTTTTAAAGCTGCAGAAACGTGCTGCTCGTATAATAATCGATGCCGATCAACAGTCTTCATCAGTAGACTCATGTTTAATAAATTAGATGGCTTCCATTTTATGAGGAGACCAATATAAATAAGTTATTAGTAGCTTTTAAAAGATTGAAGGGCAATGCCCCTTCTTATATATGTAAATGATATACTTAAGCTCAACAGTGAGCTACACTTCAGAAATACAAGCTATTTTTCAAAATTTAATTTAATATGTCCTAAGTTTAAGCGTAAGTTAGAGGGGGGAGGTCTTTTAGTGTTACCACAACCAGGTTATGCATGGAATAGTCTGCCAGCAGTTTTTAGAAAGAATGATACTTTTAATGTTTTAAAATCTTCCTTATATAGATAGTTTATAGAAAATCAAAATGATTTATATCATTTTATAATATAATGTTCATAAACATTTGTGTTTTGCTTTTTATTGACATTTTTTATATAATAGCTTGTGTTATGTATTTTTTTAGCTGCATATATTTAGGGCCACAGGTTTGTTAGTATTACTTACTATTAATGATAATAATAATAATAATAATGATAATAATA